AACCACCCTTTGAATGATGCAGATCTTATTTCAATGTAAGAAAGTATTTGACGCTATATGGCATTCGACGGGCGTATATTGTTCCGCCCCGCGGTACTCTTGTTTTACAATGTAATTTTAATTACCTGGTCTGCTTTTTCAGTACAACAATCAATTATAAATTAATCAGTTTGTGAAATTAATTAATCAATTGATTGTTGTACTGAATATAAATAGTACAACATTCTATACATCGAACATACCTGTCTCCCAAAGACGTGTCCCATCCTCCAGTGAAAGGTTGTCAGCATGGCGACGAATCCTTATCTATCTATCTATCTATCTATCTATCTATCTATCTATCTCTATCGATCGATCGATCGATCTATATTCTGCATCACCCTCTTCCTTTTGAAGCTAACTCCTTCGTAAAGACTTTGTGTACAGTTATTTATTATATCAGAATAACTTTGTGACGGTTCCAATAGAAAATTCCCCAAATCATCATCAAACACTTGTATCCATTATGGAGGATACACTCAGACTTGGCTATTGAGAATAAAGACAAACTTACCTGGCTCTGATTAGTACTCATTCACACAGGTACTATCTGCAGTGTAGGATAGGTAAAAAGATTGTCCAGGTGAACATTTTTTACTCAATTTTTCTGTTTTGTTCGAGTTGGGAAGCATGCAGTAAGCCAGTTATTGCATGATTTCTCGTCACTCGGGATATTACACCCGAGCGAAGCGAGGCTGTACTAAATCCCTTGTTACTCGAAAACCATGCAATAACCTTTACTTGTTACTCGAAAATCATGCAATAACCTTTATTGACATCACGTTCTTGTATCTAAAGTATTTACTTCATAATGTATTAACAAATATTAACCCATCTGAACTGTTCACTGGACCTAACCACTACTGTATTGCTTATACATTTACCACGACAAACAACAGGTAAACATGATTAATAGACTACAACAACTACCAGCAACGTTAACCGTTCTCAGAGCGGCACATCATCAAATAGCAACTCTGTTTAGTATCAAGTTCCGATTTCTCTGTCCTTGTTTATTTGTACAAGTTCAGATATATCTGTCTGTGTTTATTTGTGCAAATACAGAGATCTTGGTCTGTCTGTGCTAATTTGTACCAGCTGAGAAATATTTGTCTGTTTATATAATTATTTGTACAGTTTTATATGTCTGTAATTGAAATCTACTGGTTGTCTTGCCTGAATAAGTACTGTGTTTTACATTGTTTCAAATGTTTATCATTGATACATAAATTGTTGTTTTAGTGACGATCTGGCTTTCTTAATGCTATTGATGTTTTTATAGAGTTTGTTTAATTACATTATTTTTGTATTTTAATTGGATCGTCACGTTGTTATATTGTGACGCGACGTACTGATAGTGGTTGTGAGGAGGACACATTTATTACATATTGCCAGTAAGATATCGAATTACATCAATAAAACAAATCTTTCACATTGTGACAGATATCAAAAGTTATATGTATTGCAGTGTAAGTGTCAGATTTTCTGTTAGGATACAGTTAAAGCGACGGTAGAAAAAGTGGTTGTTTTTGTACAGCTTAGCTTCATATACTAACGTATTAAATTATTGACATAATTGACAACATTTATGTAAGCAACTGTTATCAAACGATAGAAGAAAACGGTAAAATATGTAATACTAGAATATAGAATATAATCCTGTTTAACAAGTGGTGCCTATAACAATGCGGTCGCTACGAAATGATGGTTATATGCAGCTGGTCCATATGGATAGATGGTCGTTATGTAAAGGTTGTGTAATAACTTAGGTATTTGAGGGGACAATAGTGCCTTACTAGCAAGCTAGCTTTTACAGTGAGGCGGTACAACCCGGGGACACGCTCACTTCGTTATAGACAGGTGGCTGTACAGACGGATGGTATACGTAAATATAGAGGTGGTCCCTATGGACAGTTGGTCGTTATGTAAAGGTTGTCGTTATCAACATATGCTAATATATATACATGATATTTGAATATATAAAGGTGGTCCCTATGGACAGTTGGTCGTTATGGACAGTTGGTCGTTATGTAAAGGTTGTCGTTATCAACATATGATAATATATATACATGATATTTGAATATATAGAGGTGGTCCCTATGGACAGTTGGTCGTTACGGAGAAGTTGTCGTTATCGACAAGTGATAATTTAAAGACAAGATACAGAGGTTTTCTTTAAAGACTTGTGATTTCTTTAGGGAGGTGATCTCTATAGAGAGATGTCTGTATATAAAGTTCGCCTGTAAACCTGCAGACGTATAGGAATGTGTGTCTACTCACACACATTATGTATTCCGTTACTTGTATCGGATTTCAAAGCACATTTTATTTGATATTTACATTCATATAATTATGTAAATACGGTATGTATTTCATCGTGATTCATTGAAGGACCCGGTGTCGGTATCGACGGGTGATTGTTTAAAGAATGGATTAAATATGGATTTTAAAATATGAATTTATATTTAATATTCTTGCAGTGTGTTTGTATGTGTTAGGTATTGTCGTGTTTGTTTATCTTTTATTCACACAAATGTTTGTGTCGGTATGTTGTCTCGTGAGGGCGTGATCGATAAGTAGACACGAACAAGGGCCTCGCCAAACTTCAGTAAAATTTTCTGCTTGATTTATGTGTTCTGTTGTTAATTTCAACAATGTAGTTTTTATTATACTGCTTAATATAACATCATTTTCTGAATACAGATTAAAACTCTTGTAAAGTCAGCAATATATGCCAAGGTCTGGTTAGCGTAATGAGATATTTAGCAGAGAATTCCAAAACTGTACTTTTGAGAAATATATATAAAAAAGTAACATTTTTTGTATTGTTTTTTTCCCCCGTAAGGACGATCATTGTCAATCAGGGGCCACGTTGGTCAAGTGGTTAAGGCGTTTGACATTCTGCTACCACTAGCCCTCCACCACTGGGTCGCGGGTTCGAGACCTACATGAGGCAGTCGCCAGGTACTGGCCGTAGGTCGGTAGTTTTTCTCTGGGAACTCCGGCTTTCCTCCCCTACCAAAGTCTGGCACGTCCTTAAATGACTATAGCTGTTAATAGCACATAATACACTATCAAACCAAACGAAACCATTGTAAATCCCTACTAATGTTATACCATGACCTACCGTCCAGCAGTCCCTTTATTTTCGTAGAAATATCCTTAAATTCATCTGGTTATGATGCGATAATTCTAATGGAATTTAAGTATACCTTTATATTTTGTGTTTTACATTTTTAAATTTAAGTCGTCTAAAATATCCTCATATGTTTTAAAAAAACCGCAGCAGAACAGGAGTTTTGGACAGAAATCCTAAACATTAGCGGGACCTGCAAGACTATATATAGTAAAGAAACCCTGATTTCAGCTAGGTGCTACCGAATAAACACGGTACATGACGTTTACCAAATTTTAAATTAATAGTGATTTATTTAATTGTCCGTGTTATACAATAACCACGGACTTTAGAGATCGAACTCCTTGCATACATAGCTAGAACATTTAAAGTCGATTACGGTATCGCTTTTACACGTTAACAGCCCTTTACGTAAAACAACATGCTACATTTGAAACTGTTGTCCCTCTGATAAAATGATAGAAATGCTGTGTGTAGAGCCAGCGACTATCGATCCCCGCGAGTAGCTATAATTATAACCGGTCTACTTCAACCGAACGGTAAACACAGCGCCGCTTTAACGATTAGATATGGCAACATTACAAAAGATTTCAAAGACAAAGACTACAATACAAATAGATTTTCTGTTTTACCTGGTAACTAATGAGCAAGCGATACACAGGTAAGGTGAGCCGTTAGTGTCACGGCACGCATAACACGTATCAATGTCTACGTGGGATACTTCACTAGGACATTCCAGTCCCACGGGGGCCCCGAGTGAACTTCCGGTACATTTAATCACAAAAAGAATGCTCAACTAATTCAGTATTGCAACGTATATCATGTAATAGGTTTGTGACATGCTGCTCAACTTTTATAATCTGTCAATCTTCGCTAGAATACACCTGTTGTTATCCACTGCATGATCGCAAGAGGCGACTGATGTTGGAACTTTGAGTCCTCTACTTATATGGTTGGTTGACCCGTTGTCAGTATAATGTGGCCGGGCGGAATGCTGTGCTGGATGCCTTCGGCATGGTATTTCAATGAGATTGCACTATAAAGTCGTAATCAGTTCCGCGCTATCACAAGGAGGCAATTATACCAACATACCCTGTCTCCGGCACACATTACACACATGCAAGCATACACATCACACATGGAGGCACGTCCTTGAATGACCTTAGCTGTTTATAGGACGCTAACTACTTTAAAACCAACCGATCAATGTTTGCTACACGAAAAATCAGCAACCGATCGGGCTTACTCGGCATGCACTGAAAAACGAAAAATGACGAAAGGAACCGAAGATCCGAATGATCTGATATTCAATATGCAGAAAGAAAAATAGTTGTTCGGATCAATTGGAGTTTTATTATCAATGAATTTATTTTTAAGAGTGTGGCGGATCCTAGGCCCCCCTCTTTCCCGAAAAGTCACTAAGGTCCCGGTTTAGACAAAATGAAATTCACCTTTTAAAAAGATTTCACGAAAACCTGTTTATTCCGGACGAAGGATCTGTACGGGGTCCGCTTTAGACAGTATCTATGTAATGTTGCTGTTCCTTAGAATATCCTGTATGCACACACCAATTATCGCCCCCACAAGTAGGTCCTACAATCATTGATCGCCGTAGTTAACTAGTGGCTACTGAAAGTCTACTATTTGTTCACTGAGTGAGTAAATATTTAACAAAATAACATTACCGTACCTGCTATGTGACGGGGCGTATTGTGGAGGTACAACGGAGCGGTACAAAACGCTAATAAGTTTTCTTAATGAAAGCGATAATCCCATTGTTTAGGATAATACACATACTTGTGTACCGTACGTAGGTAATATCCCTAGGACGGTAAATGTTCATGTGTGAAGTAGATATAGACATGACATAGATATAGACAGGCTTTACTGATCGGCGAGGGAGTTTGACCACAACTGACCGATGATGATGTCCACATACTTAGTGACTGACCAGGGAGTTTTACCACATTGGTACTGACCGATAATGAAGTATTTCCTAATCTCTATCATACGACAAGGAAGATAAACACACCCTTACATAGCTACTGACCAACGATGAGGTTTACACACACGTTTACTAACATTTGACCATACCTTTATTGACCGATGAAGAAGTGTGCCGATATTTGCCGACGTAACAGTTTTTCTGCAACTCCACATCTTCGCAAAACAGCTTACTGGTAGACTAAGAAAATCCGAAAATTAATTCTGGCAGCAGGAATCCGGATGACATGGTAAGAACAATCACGTGTAAAAATATACATCTTTCTTTTCCAAGATAATTTTTCTATTTTATAGATAACACCATCCATTCTAATGATGTCTAAAATATGAGCATGAGTTTTGGTTTATCAGTACATGTCATCTTTCTACTATGCTGGTAATTTATATATTTTATATTATATAGGGGGGGGGGGGGGGGGGGGTATTAGTCAAACCTATAAGTGTCTGACGGGAGGGAGATATGGGTCAGATCTATAAGTGTCTGATTGGAGGGAGATATGGGTCACATCTTTTAGTGTCTGACGGGAGGGAGATATGAGTCAAATCTATTAGTGTCTGACGGAAGGGAGATATGGGTCACGTCTATGAGTGTCTGACGGAAGGGAGATATGGGTCACGTCTATGAGTGTCTGACGGAAGGGAGATATGGGTCACATCTATGAGTGTCTGACGGAAGGGAGATATGGGTCACGTCTATGAGTGTCTGACGGAAGGGAGATATGGGTCACGTCTATGAGTGTCTGACGGGATGGAGATATGGGTCACATCTATAAGTCTCTGACGGAAGGGAGATATGGGTCACATCTATTAGTGTCTGACGGGAGGGAGATATGAGTCAAATTTATTAAGAGTCTTACGGGAGGGAGATATGGGTTATATTTATTAGTGTCTGACGGGAGGGAGATATGGGTCAAATATATTAAGAGTCTTACGGGAGGGAGATATTGGTTATATTTATTAGTGTCTGACGGGAGGGAGATATGAGTCACATCTATTAGAGTCTGAGGGGAAGGAGATATGGGTCAAATATATTAAGAGTCTGACGGGAGGGAGATATGAGTTATATTTATAAGTGTCTGACGGGAGGGAGATATGAGTCACATCTATTAGAGTCTGACGGGAGGGAGATATGGTTCAAATATATTAAGAGTCTGACGGGGGAGGGAGATATGAGTCAAATATATTAAGAGTCTTACGGGAGGGAGATATGGGTTATATTTATTAGTATCTGACGGGAGGGAGATATGAGTCACATCTATTAGCGTCTGACGGGAGGGAGATATGAGTCACATCTATTAGGGTTTGACGAGAGGGAGATATGGGTCAAATATATTAAGAGTCTTACGGGAGGGAGATATGGGATATATTTATTAGTGTCTGACGGGAGGGAGATATGTGTCACATCTGTTATATTTATTAGTGTCTGACGGGAGGGAGATATGAGTCACATCTATTAGTGTCTGACGGGGAGGAGATATGAGTCGCATTATTGGGATCTGACGGGAGAGAGATATGTGTTACAACTATTAGTGTCTGACGGGAGGGAGATACGGGTCACATCTATTGGTGTCTGACGGGAGAATATATGTGTCGCATCTATCAGTGTCTGACAGGAGGGAGATATGAGTCACATCTATTAGGGTTTGACGAGAGGGAGATATGGGTCAAATATATTAAGAGTCTGACGGGAGGGAGATATGGGTCATATTTATTAGTGTCTGACGGGAGGGAGATATGAGTCACATCTATTAGAGTCTGACGGGAGGGAGATATGGGTCAAATATATTAAGAGTATGACGGGAGGGAGATATGGGTTATATTTATAAGTGTCTCACGGGAGGGAGATATGGGTTATATTTATTAGTGTCTGACGGGAGGGAGATATGAGTCACATCTATAAATGTCTGACAGGGAGGAGATATGAGTCACATTATTAGGATCTGACGGGAGAGAGATATGTGTTACAACTTTTAGTGTCTGACGGGAGGGAGATACGGGTCACATCTATTGGTGTCTGACGGGAGAATATATGTGTCACATCTATCAGTGTCTGACAGGAGGGAGATATGAGTCACATCTATTAGGGTTTGACGAGAGGGAGATATGGGTCAAATATATTAAGAGTCTGACGGGGGAGGGAGATATGAGTCAAATATATTAAGAGTCTGACGGGAGGGAGATATGGGTTATATTTATTAGTGTCTGACGGGAGGGAGATATGAGTCACATCTATTAGAGTCTGACGGGAGGGAGATATGGGTCAAATATATTAAGTGTCTGACGGGAGGGAGATACGTGTCACATCTATTAGTGTCTGATTGGAGGGAGATATGAGTCACATTATTAGGATATGACCGGAGAGAGATATGGGTCACATCTATAAGTGTCTGACGGGAGGGTGATATAGGTTCACGTCTATAAGTGTCAGACGGGATGGACATATGAGTCACATATATTAGGGTTTGACGAGAGGGAGATATGAGTCACATCTATTGAAGTCTGACGAGAAGGAGATATGTGTCACATCTGTTAGTATCTGATGGGAGAGAGATATGAGTCTTATTATTTGGATCTGACGGGAGAGAGATATGAGTCACATCTATTAGTGTCTGACGGGAGAGAGATATGGGTCACATCTATTAGTGTCTGACAGGAGGGAGATATGGGTCACATCTATTAGTGTCTGACGGGAGGGAGATATGGGTCACATCTATGAGTGTGTGACGGGAGGGAGATATGTGTCACATTATTAGGATCTGGCGGGAGAGAGATATGGGTCACATCTATAAGTGTCTGACGGGAGGGAGATATGTGTCACATTATTGGGATCTGACGGGAGAGAGATATTGGTCACATCTATTAGTGTCTGATTGGAGGGAGATATGAGTCACATTATTAGGATCTGACGAGAGAGGGATATGGGTCACATCTATAAGTGTCTGATTGGAGGGAGATATAAGTCTCTGACGGAAGGGAGGTATGGGTCACATCTATTAGTGTCTGACGGGAGGGAGATATGGGTCACATCTATGAGTGTGTGACGGGAGGGAGATATGTGTCACATTATTAGGATCTGGCGGGAGAGAGATATGGGTCACATCTATAAGTGTCTGACGGGAGGGTGATATGAGTCACATTATTAGGATCTGGCGGGAGAGAGATATGGGTCACATCTATTAGTGTCTGACGGGAGGGAGATATGGGTCACATCTATTAGTGTCTGGCGGGAATAAGTGTCTGACGGGAGGGTGATATGAGTCACATTATTAGGATCTGACGGGAGAGAGATATGTGTCACATCTATAAGTGTCTGACGGGAGGGAGATATGTGTCACATTATTGGGATCTGACGGGAGAGAGATATGGGTCACATCTATTAGTGTCTGATTGGAGGGAGATATGAGTCACATTATTAGGATCTGACGGGAGAGAGATATGGGTCACATCTATTAGTGTCTGACGGGAGGGAGATAATGGTCACATCTATTTGTGTCTGACGGGAGGGAGATATTGGTCACATCTATAAGTGTCTGACGGGAGGGAGATATGTGTCACATCTATAAGTGTCTGACGGGAGGGTGATATGAGTCACATTATTAGGATCTGGCGGGAGAGAGATATGGGTCACATCTATTAGTGTCTGACGGGAGGGAGATAATGGTCACATCTATTTGTGTCTGACGGGAGGGAGATATTGGTCACATCTATAAGTGTCTGACGGGAGGGAGATATTGGTCACATCTATTAGTGTCTGACGGGAGGGAGATAAGAGTCACATTATTAGGATCTGACGGGAGAGAGATATGGGTCACATCTATAAGTGTCTGATGGGAGGGTGATATGAGTCATATTATTAGGATCTTACGAGAGAGGGATATGGGTCACATCTATAAGTGTCTGATTGGAGGGAGATATGAGTCACACTATTAGGATATGACCGGAGAGAGATATGGGTCACATTATTAAAGTCTGACGGGAGGGAGACATTGGTCACATCTATAAGTGTCTGACGGGAGGGAGATATTGGTCACATCTATTAGTGTATGGCGGGAGGGAGATATGGGTCACATCTATTAGTGTCTGACGGGAGGGAGATATTGGTCACATCTATTAGTGTCTGACGGGGGGGAGATATTGGTCACATCTATTAGTGTCTGACGGGAGGGCGATATGTGTCACATCTATAAGTGTCTGACGGGAGGGAGATATTGGTCTCATCTATTAGTGTCTGACGGGAGGGAGATAATGGTCACATCTATTTGTGTCTGACGGGAGGGAGATATTGGTCACATCTATAAGTGTCTGATAGGAGGGAGATATTGGTCACATCTATTTGTGTCTGACGGGAGGGAGATATGGGTCACATCTATTTGTGTCTGATTGGAGGGAGATATTGGTCACATCTATTTGTGTCTGACGGGAGGGAGATATGGGTCACATCTATTAGTGTCTGGCGGGAGGGAGATATGTGTCACATCTATAAGTGTCTGACGGGAGGTAGATATTGGTCACATCTATTAGTGTCTGATTGGAGGGAGATATGGGCCACATCTATTAGTGTCTGGCGGGAAGGAGATATGGGTCACATCTATTAGAGTCTGAAGGGAGGGAGATATTGGTCACATCTATTATTACGTCATGCACGTATGAGTCCTATGCATTAGTGCTTTAGACTAATTTGTTAACTGGACATTAAATATGTCCGGGTGAACCAGCTAAATGACCACTTGTTTACGTGTATTACAGCTAAGTACTGACACACGGCATATATAGGATTTTCACAAGACGCCTGTCGATTTTCTTTTGCATCAAAATAATCTCCAGAACAAATTTGTATCGCCAAATTATTTTTATTTTTGCATTTTGCGCTAATTGCTTCCACTGGCGTGAACTATGGTCTGAAAGGAAGGAGATATAGGTCATTCGGGTAGTTTATCGCGAGAGAGAGATAAGGGTGACCCCTGTAAATTGCTGTTTGACAATAAGGTCAAGCGGTATCACTTGTCCAGATAATCCACCCTCTACATAAATGTTTACACACTTACCACTACTCGGCCTAGCAATAAACATTGCGATGTTTATGTTATAGCTTACAGAACCCATACACGGGGCATTTAATCCGTCAATATATGACCCTTTCTCCTCTGTCATTCATTTATGTATTTATTTTCATTTACAAATATAACTACTTTCGTCAAAAAACAAAGTTTTTTCTGGTGTTTGCATTTGGGTTGAAAATTAAATTGCTATACAACCTTTTAGCTTGATATTTGATGTTCAATATAATCAATACATCATTTTCTGTGAGATAAAAAGTATTGGGTTTTTAGTCAGAAATGCCATGCCCTGATCAAGATCGATCCAGTGAAATCATTAAGATATGGATGGTGTGGTGTTTATATGAATTAGCCGGAAGGTCGTCTGTCTAATTGGAAATTTCTCGGATGAGCCAACATTCTGATTGATATGTTAACTGTATTTGCAGGCTGAAGCTTTGACCGACGACCAAACAGCCGGTAAGTTTACACCCGCTTACATTTAACCAGATTCGGATGTTGTAGAAATTCTAGTAGCGGATAATTATGTACAGTACATGTGGTTCTTATAATTGAATTTCGCGCAGAATCATTTTGCTAATTACATATCTGGATGAATTTCGGGGCCATGCAAACATCCTGCATTCCGGTCTACTGAAAATCGATTTTCGCGAATAAAGTTTCCCGGCTTTTGTTCTTCAAATTGCCGTTTTCTGAGAGAATGATTATTAACAAAACGAATGATTACGCTTTCTCGTTGTTTACACGAGTCGATTTGTGGCATTCAGATTAACAACCAACTCTCTTGCAAACTAGTTTGAAACTGTGAGTGTTTTGAACTTGATATAGACAGAGGGTTAATGATTCTGTTAATAAAACGCACATACAGAGGTATGACAGCGTCAACATCGAACGGCACAACTTACTCGTGAGGATGACTTCAATAGGGTTACATAGAACCGCCCCTCGGTCATTAAGGCTCACTGTATGGCTTGTGATTTTAAGGGTTCCTGTCCCACTGAACAGAGTTTTATCCTATGTTCAGTAACCTCCCCTTAATTCACGATTTGATATAGATGTAGACCGATTGGGCAGGGGTAGTGAAGCGGACGTAAAACCACTCAAACAAACATACAAGCAAGGACACGACCAGGTGGCTCAGAGTGATAGCTCAGCAATCTGAATTTCAGGGTTCGAATCCGAGTCTAGTCCCTCAGAACACTGTTGTTGATCATATTTTGTTTATTTCATCATTATTTTTTTTGATGAAAGTCTCTAAAGGTACGTTTTTCGTTTCCAAGATGATCTATCAAAGCCGTAGTCAAGCCGAAAAAAAGACATTTTGAGTACATTGTACTTAGTGACAGTTTTTGGCAGTGGTACGGGGATCCTTAATTTCTAAATGTCGTAAACGTAGCTTGGTTGTATGTGGTTTAACGTCGTAACAACAGCTTTAAGACGTGCCTCCATGTGTGTAGTGTATGTGTGCCTCCATGTGTGTAGTGTATGCCTCCATGTGTGTAGTGTATGTGTGCCTCCATGTGTGTAGTGTATGTGTGCCTCCATGTGTGTAGTGTGTGCCTCCATGTGTGTAGTGTGTGCCTCCATGTGTGTAGTGTATGTGTGTCTCCATGTGTGTTGTGTATGTGTGCCTCCATGTGTGTAGAGTATGTGTGCCTCCATGTGTGTAGTGTGTGCCTCCATGTGTGTAGTGTGTGCCTCCATGTGTGTAGTGTATGCGTGCCTCCATGTGTGTTGTGTATGTGTGCCTCCATGTGTGTTGTGTATGCGTGCCTCCATGTGTGTAGTGTATGCCTCCATGTGTGTAGTGTATGTGTACCTCCATGTGTGTAGTGTATGCCTGCATGTGTGTAGTGTATGCGTGCCTCTATGTGTGTTGTGTATGCGTGCCTGCATGTGTGTAGTGTATGTGTGCCTCCGTGTGTGTAGTATATGTCTCCATGTGTGTAGTGTATGTGTCCCTCCATGTGTGTAGTGTATGTCTGCATCCATGTGTGTAGTGTGTGCCTCCATTTGTGTAGTGTATGCGTGCCTCCATGGGTGTAGTGTATGCCTTCATGTGTGTAGTGTATGGGTGCCTCCATGTGTGTTGTGTATGGGCGCCTCCATGTGTGTAGTGTATGTGTACCTCCATGTGTGTAGTGTATGCCTCCATGTGTGTAGTGTATGTGTACCTCCATGTGTGTAGTGTATGTCTCCATGTGTGTAGTGTATGCCTCCATGTGTGTAGTGTATGCGTGCCTCCATGTGTGTAGTGTATGCCTCCATGTGTGTAGTGTGTGCCTCCATGTGTGTAGTGTATGCCTTCATGTGTGTAGTGTATGTGTGCCTCCATGTGTGTAGTGCATGCCTCAATGTGTGTAGTGTATGCCTCCATGTGTGTAGTGTATGTGTTCCTCCATGTGTGTAGTGTATGTCTCCATGTGTGTAGTGTATGCCTCCATGTGTGTAGTGTATGCCTCCATGTGTGTAGTGTTTGCCTCCATGTGTGCAGTGTATGCCTCCATGCGTGTAGTGTATGTCTCCATGTGTGTAGTGTATGCCTCCATGCGTGTTGTGTATGTGTGCCTCCATGTGTGTAGTGTATGCCTCCATGTGTGTTGTGTATGTGTGCTGGAGGCAAAGTATGTTGGTGTAACTGCCTCCTCGTGATAGTGCGGATCTGATGCCGACTTTTGAGTGCTATCTCACCCAGCACAGCACTCCACCCGGTAACATTATACTGACAACAAGTTAACCAGTAGTTGTCATTACTCTAAACGCTAAACGTTAGCAGGGAATTTTAAGGAATTTGGTGTATGTTGGCCTGGGGAAAGAATGTAGGTAACTTTAAACATAGTGTGTACGTACCTACCATAATTAGTTGTGTTTTGTGTCCGCCGTTACGCCTGTGTGATACCTGACATGATTTCATGAATTTCACGGGATACATGATGTCCCGTGCAAGAAAAATCTCAACCCTTCTGAAATCTATTTGATCCGCTGATTTTGATTTTTAACTTTATTTTTTGTGGGAGATGAGTGTTTATATTATCCTTCCTTTCTGTTTTGGATCTCAATGTCTGATAGCTTCTGACTTATGAATTGTAAATTAAAACTCAGAACTAAAACTAACGAAGCGTCCTCCTCTATCTAGCTCTTCGAGAGGCTTTTAACAAGTTTGACATGGACGGGAACGGTTCTATTACGGTGGATGAGCTAGGACTGGCCATGAGGTCCATCGGAGAAAACCCCTCTACAAAGGAAATCCGACAACTCATGGAGGCGGCTGATCTTAACCGTAAGTATTCGAAAGCAAACGTTGACCGTTAGAATTCCAAATCAGGGTGAACGCTTACCTTGACTCTACTCCACAAACAAAGTGAAAACCGACCCTAGGCGTAAGTGTTCAGGGGCGTAGTTGGCCCTTGGTCGGAATGGATTTATTTAGGAGTAGGTCCAGGACAGGACCTTGATAGGGGACAAGGGGGTACAACGATATAGTGTATCATGTTGAATATTCAGTTTTAATGATGACGACCAATCATGTAGTATTTCCTGTGACAAAGTGTTTGAGAGAACGTTTCGTCATATGAAGTACATACATAAACGGTGTCATTGCTGATAATATAACACGTCATTTTCTTAATGTAATAATTTCTGTATTTTTGACGATAAATCGTTATAGATTTTAAAATGTTCGATATTTTGAGATAATGCTGGCAATAATACAACAAATTATCGAGGTCATTAAATATAAACTTTATTTACTTTTAAACAATTCAGTATGAAACAGTCTAAGTGTGGGAGGAAACCGAAGTACCATGTGAAACCCCACGTGGTCGGGCAGGTGACCCCATACCTTTTCACGTCCGATCGGTGAATCGAACCCCGGCCCTCTTGGTGAAAGGCAAGCGTGGTATCCACTGTACCACCTGACCATACATGGCAGAATCTTAATATGTTTTGCAACTCATTGAAAAATATTTGAACACTGGTTTATTTTTACAGGAAATGGCACAATCGAGTTTGAGGAATTTGTGGAAATGGTTGCCGACAGATTAAAAGACTTTGATGTAATATCAGAAATGAAAGAAGCTTTTGAGGTATTTGATCAAGATAATGACGGGTTCTTAAATAAAGAGGATATCCGAAGGGCGATGGCGGGGCTGGGCGTGTCTTTAACAGAACCGGAAGTGACGCAGATGATGGAGGTGGCGGATAGCGACAAAGACGGCAGACTCAATTACAAAGGTACAGTTCACAGACAAAACAGAGGAAAGTGATATATCAGAAATGTGTTTTCAACATTTTGTTATCTTTTAGGTCGATCNGGGGGGGGGTATTTTGTAATATTTAAATAACAAATCAACGATGGGTAATATGGACTTCAATTGTCAAATTCATTTTCAATTTGTTCTTGTTCGGAAAATAATGTATCTAACATCTGGGCAAACAGGAGTGATCTATATAATACATATAACTTACTTCCTATTTTTTTTATATATATATAAAATAAATATAATTCAAATGGGCCTTTGTGTTGTCTATCCTCTTTTTTTTCATCTTCGGTTGACGTTCATTAATGATAGTTTTCTTTTCCAGAATTTGTGGCAATGTTAACGAGAGGAGACCAGTTCAAAGCCGACAACATCCTCCTGTCGTTGAAGCGGTCTCTAACAATCTAAACATGTCATTGAAGCCATCTCTAACAATATAAACTTATCTTTGAAGCTGTCTCTAACAGGATAAACATGTCTTTGAAGCCGTCTCTAACAATCTAAACATGTCTTTGAAGCCGTCTCTAACAATAAAAACATATCTTTGAAGCCATCTCTAACAATATAAACTTATCTATGAAGCTGTCTCTAACAGTATAAACATATCTTTGAAGCTGTCTCTAACAATATAAACATGTCTTGGAAGCCGTCTCTAACAATATAAACATATCTTTGAAGCCATCTCTTACAATATAAACATGTCTTTGAAGCCGTCTCTTACAATATAAACATGTCATTGAAGCCGTCTCTAACAATATTTACATGTCTTTGAAGCCGTCTCTAACAATATAAACATGTCGTTGAAGCCGTCTCTAACAATATAAACATGTCTTTGAAGCCGTCTCTAACAATATAAATATGTCATTGAAGCCGTCTCTTACAATCTAAACATGTCTTTGAAGCCGTCTCTAACAATATAAACTTATCTTTGAAGCTGTCTCTTACAATCTAAACATGTCTTTAAAGCCGTCTCTAACAATATATCATGTCTTTGAAGCCGTCTCTAACAATATAAACATGTCGTTGAAGCCGTCTCTAACAATATAAACTTGTCGTTGAAGCCTTCTCTAACAATATAAACTTGTCTTGGAAGCCGTCTCTAACAATATAAACATGTCTTTGAAGCCATCTCTAACAATATAACCATGTCTTTGAAGCCGTCTCTTACAATGTAAGCTTATCTTTGAAGCCGTCTCTTACAATATAAACTTATCTTTGAAGCCATCTCTAACAATATAACCATGTCTTTGAAGCCGTCTCTTACAATGTAAGCTTATCTTTGAAGCCGTCTCTTACAATATAAACTTATCTTTGAAGCCATCTCTAACAATATAACCATGTCTTTGAAGCCGTCTCTTACAATGTAAACTTATCTTTGAAGCCGTCTCTTACAATATAAACTTATCTTTGAAGCCGTCTCTAACAATATAAACTTATCTTTGAAGCCGTCTCTAACAATATAAACATGTCTTTGAAGCCGTCTCTCACATTACAAACATGTCTTTGAAGCTGTCTCTAACAATATAAACTTATCTTTGAAGCTGTCTCTAACAATATAAATTTATCATTGAAGCAGTCTCTAACAATATAAATTTATCATTGAAGCAGTCTCTAACAATATAAACATTTCGTTGAAGCCGTCCCTAACAATATAAACATGTTATTGAAGACATCTCTAACAATATAAACTTGACGTTGAAGACTTCTCTTACAATATAAACTTATCTTTGAAGCCGACTCTAACAATATAAACTTGTCTTTAAATCTGTCTCTAACAGTATAGAAATGTCGTTGAAGCCGTCTTTAACAATATAAACTTGTCTTTAAATCTGTCTCTAACAGTATAGAAATGTCGTTGAAGCCGTCTTTAACAATATAAACTTGTCGTTGAAGCCTTCTCTAACAATATAAACTTGTCTTTAAATCTGTCTCTAACAGTATAGAAATGTCGTTGAAGCCGTCTTTAACAATATAAACTTGTCGTTGAAGCCGTCTCTAACAATATAAACATGTTATTGAAGCCATCTCTAACAATATAAAGATGTCGTTAAAGCCGTGTCTAACAATATAAACATGTCTTTAAAGCCGTTTCTAACAATCTAAACGTGTTTTTGAAGCCGTATCTAACAGTATAAACATGTCATTGAAGCCGTTTCTAACAATATAAACATGTCTTTGAAGCTGTCTCTAACAATGTAAACATGTCTTTGAAGCCATCTCTTACAATGTAAACTTATCTTTGAAGCTGTCTCTAACAATGTAAACATGTCTTTGAAGCCGTCTCTAACAATATAAATTTATCATTAAAGCCGTCTCTAACAATATAAACATTTCGTTGAAGCCGTCCCTAACAATATAAACATGTCATTGAAGCCGTATCTAACCATATAAACATGTCGTTAAAGCCGTCTCTAACAATATAAACTTGTCTTTGAAGCCGTCTCTAACAATCTAAACATGTCTTTGAAGCCGTCTCTCACATTATAAACATGTCTTTGAAGCCGTCTCTAACAATAAAAACATATCTTTGAAGCCATCTCTAACAATATAAAGATGTCGTTAAAGCCGTGTCTAACAATATAAACATGTCTTTAAAGCCGTCTCTAACAATATATCATGTCTTTGAAGCCGTCTCTAACAATAAAAACATGTCGTTGAAGCCGTCTCTAACAATATAAACATGTTATTGAAGCCGTATCTAACAATATAAAGATGTCGTTAAAGCCGTTTCTAACAATATAAACGTGTTTTTGAAGCCGTATCTAACAGTATAAACATGTCATTGAAGTCGTCTCTAACAATATAAACATGTCGTTGAAGCCGTCTCTAACAATGTAAACATGACTTTGAAGCCGTCTCTAGCAATATTAACATGTCTTTGAAACCGTCTCTAACAATATTTACATGTCGTTGAAGCCGTCTTTAACAATATAAACTTGTCTTTAAAGCTGTCTCTAACAATGTAGACATGTCTTTGAAGCCATCTCTAACAATATAAATATGTCATTGAAGCCGTCTCTACCAATATAAACATGTCATTGCAGTCGTCTCTAACAATATAAACTTGTCTTTGAAGCCGTCCCTAACAATATTAACAAGTCTTTGAAGCCGTCCCTAACAATATAAACATATCGTTGAAGCCGTCTTTAACAATATAAACATATCGTTGAAGCCGTCTTTAACAATATAACCTTCTCGTTGAAGCCGTCTTTAAAAATATAAACTTGTCGTTGAAGCCGTCTTTAACAATATAACCTTCTCGTTGAAGCCGTCTTTAACAATATAACCTTCTCGTTGAAGCCGTCTTTAACAATATAAACATATCGTTGAAGCCGTCTTTAACAATATAACCTTGTCGTTGAAGCCTTCTCTAACAATATAAAAATTCCGTTGAAGCCGTCCCTAACAATATAAACATATCGTTGAAGCCGTCTTTAACAATATAACCTTGTCGTTGAAGCCGTCTTTAACAATATAACCTTCTCGTTGAAGCCGTCTTTAAAAATATAAACTTGTCGTTGAAGTCGTCTCTAACAATGTAACCATGTCTTTGAAGCCGTCCCTAACAATATAAACATTTCGTTGAAGCCGTCTTTAACAATATAAACTTGTCTTCGAAGCCGTCTCTAACCTCTAACAATATAAATATGTCATTGAAGCCGTCGCTAACAATTTAAACATTTCGTTGAAGCCGTCTTTAACAATATAAACTTGTCTTTGAAGCCGTATCTAACAATATAAAGATGTCGTTAAAGCCGTCTCTAACAATATTAACATGTCTTTGAAGCCGTCTCTAGCAATATTAACATGTCTTTGAAGCCGTCTCTAACAATGTAAACTTGTCTTTAAAGACATGATGTTTTATTACTCCGTCATGTGACCAGTATCATCCAATCAGACATGCTGTAAGTGATATTTCTCATTTTGCCAAATTTGATTTTTAAATAAATACAGATCACAAGAAGACGGATTCCCAAGCCCTTCAGCTGCTGTACAGCTCTACAGGAGATTGGTTTTTATTTTTTTGAAGGTACAATCAATCAACGTAACAATATATAGCGGATGTTCATTATAATGTTATACAATACATGCCGTAGTGACGTCACCAACACAACCAATCGGGAGTCTTCGGGAGTTTCCGCTTTTTACCCTTCCCAGAGCATACATGTAAATCCAGTCGCCACATCATATATATCTTAATTTACAGCGTATTATATTTTCTATTTAAAATGACGTTTTGTGTGTGACAACACCAAAAGAATTGTGCAAAATAGCCCTTAAGTGTGTTGTTTGAGAATTTATCAAATGAAGAGTTGAAGCAAATTATTATAGTCATCTATGTTTGAAAAATGTGAAATATACATTCCTTAGAAAATGACTTTTGCATTTTTTTTTCACATTTTGTTAATGGTTAAACTTGATTTATGAGAGTCACGTTTTCACAACTAACCTATTAACGACTTAATATTTGACAGCTATTTGTAATTTTAAAAATGTACGTTCTATTTGATTATACCAATTGTATTTATTCCTTTTGATTATTGACGATTATAGAAATAATGTTGGCATTTTTTTCATGAAAATGACATTTATACATGTACATCCAATTCTGATCTAAAAATAACCATCGCACATTTCATTGATTCATTGTACATATAGCGATTGTTTATCTTATGTGTTAGACTATAGAAATAACATTTGGATCATGTAACTATTTATTTTTTATCATCAAAATAAAGATTGATATTTAGATGTCTGATGATGAAAACAATGCTGGCATCACCTGTTTCATTAAAAGTGTTTACTTTTTTCTTTTATTAATAAACGATAACAGTTTACCAAAATAAAGTTCATTGATCATATATGTTTTCTTTATCATCGGTATTCCTTTAACACATTGTATCCACACATAGTTACTGTAATCTGTATGCTCCCTTCGTCACTGTCACAAATGTTTCAGTATTTTTTCTCTGAGAGTTCTCTCCGACTCCTCTTCTTGGAATACCTGTACAAAATCTGCACTGTCTAATTTGAAAAACCTTTCCATGCGAAGAGCAGTTCTAGTCTATGCTATGATGTCTGGTTAAGTCTGTCATCTGGGTGTCTTTCTAAGTCACCCCTGGTTAGTCTGTTGTCAGAATAATGTGTTGTAATGGTCCCGTAAAATTGCAAATAAAATATCTTAAATATCATAATATAAGATGGCCAATCCGACCTTGATCTTTGGTTCCACCAGCTTCAGTTACATGTGTTAATTTTGCTCATTGTCTGACTATGACAGATTTGGGTGTCACAAAACCTGTGCTGTGTATTTCCGTGAGATTGCACTATGAAATGGTCCTTGAGAGGATCCCTTATCTATAGCTACGTGCACTTTCAGTAAGCAGAAATACGATCGTAGTTTTAGGAAGGGGAGCCATACCAAACAAAAAAGAAAGAAAAGTTCACTGTCAAAGAAATCAGATAGCTTTCAATGTATCTAAAACAACAAACCAGTTATAATTTATAACAACAAATGACCACCACAGGTGTGGCAGTATCTAAAACAGATCAAGAAACAAGAGATTTCACCATGAACATGGTATATGTCCGATATTGCCAATATCAGGAAAACATCTGTCCTCATATGACCCTGGCTGTTGTGTCTCCCTAGTTACCCGTCCTCATATGACTCTGGCTGTTGTGTCTCCCTAGTTACCCGTCCTCATATGACCCTGGGTGTTGTGTCTCCCTAGTTACCATTCCTCGTATGACCCTGGGTGTTGTGTCTCCCTAGTTTCCCGTCCTCATATGACTCTGGCTGTTGTGTCTCCCTAGTTACCCGTCCTCATATGACCCTGGCTGTTGTGTGTCCCTAGTTACCCATCCTCATATGACTCTGGCTGTTGTGTCTCCCTAATTGCCAGTCCTCATATGACCCTAGCTGTTGTGTCTCCCTAGTTGCCCGTCCTCATATGACCCTGGGTGGGGTGTCTCCCTAGTTACCCGCCCTCATATGACCCTGGGTGGGGTGTCTCCCTAGTTACCCGCCCTCATATGACCCTGGGTGGGGTGTCTCCCTAGTTACCCGTCCTCATATGAGCCTGGGGGTTGTGTCTCCCTAGTTACTCGTCCTCATATGACCCTGGGTGGGGTGTCTCCCTAGTTACCCGTCCTCATATGGCTCGGGCTGTTGTGTCTCCCTAGTTACCCGCCCTCATATGACCCTGGGTGTTGTGGCTCCCTAGTTACCCGTCCTCATATGACCCTGGCTGTTGTGTCTCCCTAATTACCAGTCCTCATATGACCCTAGCTGTTGTGTCTCCCTAGTTACCCGTTCTCATATGACCCTGGCTGGTGCGAGGACGTTAAAACCCTGAACAAACAAAATCAAGATCAGTCTGTATATCATCACAGAGCAAACATCTAACATGAAATTAACAATCCAGATGGATACCACAGCATTCAGCGTACATATTGTTAGATTAAGATTTAATCTCACATCAATTTCAATGCTTCTGTATAGGAAATGTTTGGGTTCAGACTTTTTAAACTGTTCCACGTGTTAAACTGTTAATGTCCAAACATTGCTAATGTTCCATACTGTGTAAATTGTCGTCCGTGTCGGTAATATAACTACAACCTTTACTCCTGCTTCATTGCTAATGTTCCTTACAGTGTAAATTGTCGTCCGTGTCGGTAATATAACTACAACCTTTCCTCCTCCAACGCATTTGTGTAATACTCCGATTGGATCTCGGTACATGTATTTAAAAAAATCCATTTTTACACTCAACATTTCTATGGTGGCATATATCTGCGATGGACTTCCGACTAACGAGTTACCTATGTGAACATAACTTTTACAAGATGACTGTTAGAAGATGCCAATATAATCTATGAATGTGATGCAATAAAGTTAAAATCATGTCGATGTATTTTTACATTTTCGGAGATAATTTTGGCGAGATAATTATCACGTAATTATGTTACATAATAAAAAGCAAAGTTACCGTACCTACTCACGTGGCAATTATCTGGGCAAAATGATATGGGAAAATGTAAAAATACATCGTCATGATTTAAATGTTATTGTGACATATTCATAGATTATATTGACATTTTTTGTTAAAAATTGTTGACAAAGGTAACTTGTAAGTCGAATAAAAAATAAAAAATAAAAAATAAACATCTCTGTAGCAGAAATAGATGTCTTTATTATGTATACACACAAACTAAACAGTTGATGTTCCCTTGTGCGGTCAGCCACGCTACCAAATCTACACATATACCGATACATTGATGTCAAACACACAACAGCCTATAATTTAACCCTTGTCCCAGGGTATTCTAAACCACATTCACAGTTACTTTGTGTTTTGGACCTCGTTTGAGAGTATTTTGAACTTTGTCCTGAACTATTCTTAACCACTACCAGGCGTATTTTGGACCTCACCTGAGAGTAATCTTTCCTTGTGAACCATAACCAAAAATATTCTGTACCTGAACTTAGAGTAATCTGAACCTCACATGGAATATTGAACTACAGTGAGTAAGCACACTGGCCTTTGACCCTTTCACCTCTGTAGACCATAATGGACTCATCCCGATCAATGTGTGGTAGAGTCTACTAAGTAAAGTTACCTAGGGGTAAAAGGGTTAACCTAACCGATACTGCTGGGATTTAATTCCTTGACTGAACCAAAAAAGGTATGGGGTCGTCTGCTTGACCACATGGGTTTTCTCCAGGTACTCTGGTTTCCTTCTACCCCCTGCGCGACCACTCGGGTAAATGGGAGCGCACAATCGACTGTCCCAACTGACCATCGCGTTTGCTATGTTCATTTTCATTAGAAATGTTTTTGCTTTAAATTCAAATCAATTTTCAATGGTGAGAGGGAATGAATTTATTTCTAATTTTATCATATTAATTGATACCTTTGATGCACTTTCCGTTTTGAGTAAAAAAAAGGGTGTGAGTTTAACTAATAATATTAATTAAAAAAATCAAAGTATTAATGGAGTATTTCTCTAAAATAATCAATTACATGGAGAGGTCCACATGTTCTTTAACTTCCCCAATATATTTGTCAATTATTTACAATTCTACAATGTTCAAAAGCCCGCACTAGATTAATAAAAAAAAAAGGTTTTCTAAAGTATATTTTTTATATGTGAAAAAAAAAATCTGTTTCATCCACTGAAAGTGAAATTTAATCACACACAATAAGTAATCTCTATAGGAATGAGATGTTCATATCTACAATATTTTCCAAAGCAATTCAAGACTGTTTTTAAATCTTCCTAAGTGGAAATAAAATTTTCGATAAAAATTACAAAATCACAGCGGCTATAGCTGTAACGCAACTAAATAGTAATTTATATTTCCTTACATCAGTCTTCAGCACAATGTATAAAAATTTGGAAAAAAGAATAAACACAAATGAAACTAAAATTCAATATTATTAATTAAGATATAAATGCACTTGAAATTTCTTTCCCCAATACAAATGTGGAGTGAATGTGTGGCCCCCACTTTGATTATTTTTATTTTTTGTTCATACCATAAGTAGATACATATTTATAAAAAATAACTACAGATATGATTTATCAATATTGACCAAAAAAAACTCTTTGCATAATCCCTGGTTGAGTAAAGAGGTTCCCTTATAGCAAGACAACAGGAAAAAATCCCTGTTAAATATTAGTTTTAAAATAGTTGATTTCATGTAGGGAATACAAGATTGCCTTATTTTTTTATATCAAGTACAAGACATTCAATACATACAAATATTTGTAGACTTCCATTGATATTTCAAAGTAGAAAAAAGCAAAATTGGCACAAGAATGAAAAATATGACAAATGGTTAACTGTCCTTTGTAAAGTTATGACAGGTGTTAGTTTTAAATGTAAATGTTATACCTTTTCATTTATCTTGAAACATGATACAACAACACTTTTGAAACAAGTGGAATGCAGAAAATCTATGATATACAAAAAAAATGAAAATTCAATTATTCTGTCAAAATGATTTTATTCTATTTTTAGTTATAAAACTAAATAATGATTTACCGCAGAACAGAAATTCTACCTTGGTGTAACCCCAGATGAGATACTTAACACGTTTCGAGTAAGAGTAATCTATATAAACACAGCTAAAATGTCGCTTTCTGTCATGTTCCTCATTGACATTGAGTTTGGAAGACAAGTCACCGTTGGATAACGATGCGGTGCCGGAATGCATCCTTATCTGATCATCCTCAAACGCTGAGGCTGACTCAATAAATATTCATTTCCCAAGGTTTGTGTGTTTTTGTGCTAATGATTAACAAAGTAGGTGACTCAATACATATTCATTTCACAGGGTTTGTGTATTTTTGCGCTAATGATTAAGAAAGCATGTAAATAAAATGTCCAAGCAGTAACTACTGTTTAGTACTTTTCGTATGAGTTACCTCCCTTTCCGGAAGATAACTTGTATTGTCTCATACTTATCATTTTAAGCTTAAGCTGACAGTTTAATAAACAGGAATGGATGTGATACATACATAAAGTCTCAAATTTACCAATACGTTTGAAAATACATTACGAGTGTGGGAAAACAAAAACAAAAACAGTGCTAAAAACTTTATACAAAGGGAGGTAACTCATACTGCTGGAGTGTCCTTCTTTACTGGCTGAAGTTGTTCTGATTGGGAACAAAAATCAGAGGTTTGAGTGGCAGTAACATATCCAGTCACATGCCTTATTTAACATCAGACTTTTTTTCTGGATTATTTAGTTAATAACACTCAACACCATACCTTTATTACGCAGTTTGAGGTAACTTGCATAAAATCAAATATCACTAACTGGTCTCACTTGATCTTTATTTATAAATCTTATAAAACATTCAAGCTAATGTGTACATCGTCATGATCATCTGAGGTAATGAAGTTCGCCTGACATTGGCGGCTGTCTTAATTCTGATGAGAGTCGTATAATTGATAACTAAAATTAAAACAGTTCTTTGAAAATCAATTTATCTCAAATCCCTTCTCAATAAATAATTCAAAATCCATTGATATATTGTAACTAATCTAAAATACACATGAAAAAAAGTTAAATAATTACATATAAATGTAAAATGTTGATTGAAGTATGTACAAGTGCAGCCTAATAACTGAACCCAGAGACAATTAAATTACACGGAGTCCCAGTAGTGTTCCCTGTGAGAACTGATACAAGTGTCTTTAGTGAACCCAGACAAGAGAACTGAAATCATTCTACATGTCCCAGATTGTAACAGATTCTCAATCACGGTTTTAAAAATGGTGTTTACTGTCCATACTTAGCATTGTTTAGATTTACATGTACATTTTACTCCAACAAAAAAATCACTCTAAAAACCCGATAGTCTATATCACGTTGGACCCTGAAATTCACCAATTTGAGGTTCCGTAGAAATTTAAAATCAAGTGTCACCGTTTCGGAAAAAAATTACTTCAGAAATCATTTGGTCGTCAGTGACAAAAATGTGATTCTGGTGACAAAGTTTAACAGTGTGACAAAGAAACAACACAAAATAACACCTAAATCTTCTTTAAATAAAACAAAACATTCCTACATAAACAAGGCTCAGAATTTACTTTAAAAGCATACTTGCCAACTCTCCCTATTTTGAGGGGGACTCCCGATTTTAGACCCTAAAGTTCACCATTTTCAGCCAGTAAACTTGCTAAACTATTCCTATATTCAGAGATCTAATCATTTCATCTGAAAGAACCACATAAAAGATGCCATTTTAAAGTGTTATCTTTTCGTTTTCACTTGGTGGTGGTGGTGGTGGGTGTGGGGTGGGGTGGGGGTATAAACATACCCTTTATTTATGTTTTGAATTTAGAGTAATCTCCCCCATGGAAATGTCAAAAGGTTGGCAAGTATGTAAAAGTGTAAATATTAATACGACTTAAATATATCCACCAATCACTGTAATAAATTAACATAGTGGTAACCCTATAAATCAGTACTATAATTCTCTGTATTTACAGATGAGGAAGATGGATTTCGAGAGTGTTTGTTTTTCGATTCCTTCGTCAGTCCCAATGCGCTGGTCGTTTTAAGTTTAGCCATCTGTAGTATACTACTGCTGCTGCTGGTCTTCTCTTCCAATTCTTCGTGAGTGGAATACTTTTGTAGTTCTATATTATCTACTATTGAACGGGAGCTATTTTTCACGACGCCGACCTGCACACTGTCCATTGAGTCACCGTTCTGTCTGGTAGTTGTCTCCCCTTCCTTCTTGGAATCTTTCAGTTTAAATTTTTCTCCCTTTTTCCCAAATGCTGCCGAGAGTTTGCCGGACTTTGAAAGCTTGATCACTGGCTTGTGAGCGTCACCGTCTTCCTCGATGGTCTGCAACTTGGCACCATCTTCTGTAGCCGGTATGCTAATGTCCTCTGAATAAATATATTGAATACACATAAATACGTAGAAAGGGACAGTAAAATCACGGAAGCTGACAGCAATGGGCAATTTTTTTAAGGAATTTAAGTCATCAAAACTGAGAGGGACCATTATATGTAAAATTGAAAGGAAGTGGAAATGAAGAGGGCCAATTTCCTTTGTGTAGTGCCCAGGGTCCAAGGTCCCTCCAGAAATTATCCCTGGAAAGCTTGTGGTAGGATACAAGATATTTGCAGAGGGTAAACACAGCTATAGGGATGCAAATCGTTTTCAGTGACCAATCATATGCCATGTTATATATATATATATCTCTTATACGAATTCAATATTTCGTTATGTTATTCATGAGGACAAATCCCAAACTTTTTATACAGTAACACTACCGGTCACATCCTTTCCTAGTAAAATTGACCAACCTAGAAGCTTCATCTTGACCCAGCACAGTTGTCTTACCTGGGAGCTTGCGTGCTCTGAAGGAGGCGTTGGTGATGGCCGACTTTGAGATGGTGTGACCAGAAGTGGCTGGGGTCAACGACATGCTGATGCCCATCGGACCGTCCGAATGTCCCGCCGCATTACACTGGAGCGAATCGCGGATAGCATTGGTTACCTGGAAGTACAAGAAATTTGTTTAAGTGGTTGTCACCCACAGGATAAACCATAAATATCAACCTTTGACACCTCGATTGAGGTAGATCTCCCTCATTCCACACATTTCCAATGAGGAAGAAAGTGCGTGAAATGCGACTGAAACTACTTTGTTCAATTTATCTTTCCCTTTTTATGTATTAAAAATAGCTCAGAGTAACCGAGATCTGTTGATTTTGGGAGGGTTGACAGCTATGATAAACACAAGTCAATGTATGTGAGGCCAAGTTACTGGTGTAGATCTAAGGATATTATTTTTATTTGTAAATAACTGTCAGGGCTTTACTTCTCTTGCTGAGTCACACATTAATTTCTTGTAAACTGTAAACTTGAAAATGATTGCCGACTACAACACATGCCTAGTCACATATTTGAGATATCAGAGTTATTCCCCCTTACTGAGTACAACCAGTTTTCCTTAAAAAACATTGGATAGGTTTCGACTTTTTGACATTAGAACAACTTTTTTTTTATTCAGGTAAGAATAATTTCCCCTTACTGATAAAAGCAATATTTCCCTTTACTGACAGTGGTTTCCCCTTATTGACATAAGTATACTGTCCCATACTGACATTAGAGCTGTTCTCTACTGACAGAGTGGTTTCCCCTTATTGACATTAGTATAATGTCACATACTGACATAAGAGCTGTCTCTACTGACAGAGTGGTTTCCCCTTATTGACATTAGTATAATGTCCCATACTGACATAAGAGCTGTCTCTACTGACAGAGTGGTTTCCCCTTATTGACATTAGTATAATGTCCCATACTGACATAAGAGCTGTCTCTACTGACAGAGTGGTTTCCCCTTATTGACATTAGTATAATGTCCCATACTGACATAAGAGCTGTCTCTACTGACAGAGTGGTTTCCCCTTATTGACATTAGTATAATGTCCCATACTGACATAAGAGCTGTCTCTACTGACAGAGTGGTTTCCCCTTATTGACATTAGTATAATGTCCCATACTGACATAAGAGCTGTCTCTACTGACAGAGTGGTTTCCCCTTATTGACATTAGTATAATGTCCCATACTGACATAAGAGCTGTCTCTACTGACAGAGTGGTTTCCCCTTATTGACATTAGTATAATGTCCCATACTGACATAAGAGCTGTCTCTACTGACAGAGTGGTTTCCCCTTATTGACATTAGTATAATGTCCCATACTGACATAAGAGCTGTCTCTACTGACAGAGTGGTTTCCCCTTATTGACATTAGTATAATGTCCCATACTGACATAAGAGCTGTCTCTACTGACAGAGTGGTTTCCCCTTATTGACATTAGTATAATGTCCCATACTGACATAAGAGCTGTCTCTACTGACAGAGTGGTTTCCCCTTATTGACATTAGTATAATGTCCCATACTGACATAAGAGCTGTCTCTACTGACAGAGTGGTTTCCCCTTATTGACATTAGTATAATGTCCCATACTGACATAAGAGCTGTCTCTACTGACAGAGTGGTTTCCCCTTATTGACATTAGTATAATGTCCCATACTGACATAAGAGCTGTCTCTACTGACAGAGTGGTTTCCCCTTATTGACATTAGTATAATGTCCCATACTGACATAAGAGCTGTCTCTACTGACAGAGTGGTTTCCCCTTATTGACATTAGTATAATGTCCCATACTGACATAAGAGCTGTCTCTACTGACAGAGTGGTTTCCCCTTATTGACATTAGTATAATGTCCCATACTGACATAAGAGCTGTCTCTACTGACAGAGTGGTTTCCCCTTATTGACATTAGTATAATGTCCCATACTGACATAAGAGCTGTCTCTACTGACAGAGTGGTTTCCCCTTATTGACATTAGTATAATGTCCCATACTGACATTAGAGCTGTCTCTACTGACAGAGTGGTTTCCCCTTATTGACATTAGTATAATGTCCAATACTGACATAAGAGCTGTTCTCTACTGACAGAGTGGTTTCCCCTTATTGACATTAGTATAATGTCCCATAGCAACATTAGAGCTGTTAGCTGCTTCTTTTTTCTGACATTAGAGTTGCACGTTTCCTTCAAGAGTTTTCCCTTTCAATAAGAGGTCCGTGATCAGTTTAACTTACCAACAAAACATCTGCATAGAGTTCGTAGCAGGCTCTGTGGTGGATGTCTACAGCCGCCTTGATTCCTTGGGAGGTCTGTCCATTATACCTTAAAACAAACTACGGGTTAAATTTCAGATCTTGCAACACAATAAATAGCTCTCTAAACTAAAACATTGGAGTTATGTTAAGAAAGCTATACAGGTATTTGAAAATCAATTTTCCAAAAATTTAAGGTCACATTTGGAAATACGGCTTGTTTTCCCTTCAGCTCCTATATCAGAACAATTGGTAGCCTCTATGCTTAATTAACTTTCGATGGAAAAAATCCTTTACTGCCCAATATTTAATTACCGTTCACATTAAATTACTACCCGTATGTATATACTGCCCAGTATAAGTGAGTGACTGTGAGTAAGGGGAGATAATCAGTTATCTCCCCTGGACTCAATCAGTGATCTCCCTTGGATTCAGTGTGACTTACATGGTGTAGTATATCCCTGATAACATCTCCACAAGAAGGGCAGGGCTAACTGGTATCCTTGGGGGTAGTTCTCCAACTTGGCTACGTCTCTTGCCCTTTGACCTCTCCTCTCCTATACGGAAGCTGGCTAATGGCTGGCCCTCATCTTCCTCTAACTGGTGCAGGTTTGTAAAGCCAGTTGTGGCGATTCTGTCAATAATGCAATTTTGTTTAAATTCTCATATTTTTTTTATTTTTTTTTGTGCATATGTACTGTGATTCATATGCTTTTAATTTTCCATTTTGACAAATTTCATTGAAAATTTCATTGAAAATTTTTGACAAATATATTTAGACACATGGCCCTTAGACATCCATTGCTACTGGTTTTGATGGCTTATTTTTGTACTGTTTAGGCCTGGAAAAGAGAATAACCTTCAATCCATTTTTAAAGATATGAGATAGTTCAAGCTTCATGTAACACAGAAATCAGTTAATATCAAAGACAATATTTGGGGTAGTTGTTTCTTTATATTCGTTGAAATTTGAGTTATTGTACCAATATTTCTACTCGTTCTGAAATAATAATGAATTAGGTCAGTATCCTGGAAGGGAACTGTGAACTAACCTTGAGCACGCCTTACACATCATCTGATGTGACACTACAGACCTACCTTGAGCACGCCTTACACATCATCTGATGTGACATTCCAGCCCTGCCTTGAGCACGCCTTACACATCATCTGATGGGACATTACAGACCTACCTTGAGCACGCCTTCCACATCATCTGATGTGACACTACAGACCTCCCTTGAGCACGCCTTACACATCATCTGATGTGAAACTACAGACCTACCTTGAGCACGCCTTACCCATCATCTGATCTGACATTACAGACCTACCTTGAGCACGCCTTCCACATCATCTGATGTGACACTACAGACCTACATTGAGCGCGCCTTACACATCATCTGATGTGACATTACAGCCCTCCCTTGAGCACGCCTTACACATCATCTGATGTGACATTACGGACCTACCTTGAGCACGCCTTACACATCATATGATGTGACACTACAGACCTACCTTGAGCAGGCCTTACACATCATCTGATGTGACACTACAGAACTACCTTGAGCACGCCTTACACATCATCTGATATGACATTACAGACCTACCTTGAGCACGCCTTCCACATCATCTGATGTGACACTACAGACCTCCCTTGAGCACGCCTTACACATCATCTGATGTGACATTCCAGCCCTGCCTTGAGCACGCCTTACACATCATCTGATGTGACATTCCAGCCCTGCCTTGAGCACGCCTTACACATCATCTGATATGACATTACAGACCTACCTTGAGCACGCCTTCCACATCATCTGATGTGACACTACAGACCTACATTGAGCGCGCCTTACACATCATCTGATGTGACACTACAGACATACCTTGAGCATGCCTTACACATCATCTGATGTGACACTACAGACATACCTTGAGCATGCCTTACACATCATCTGATGTGACACTACAGACCGACCTTGAGCACGCCTTACACATCATCTGATGTGACATTCCAGCCCTGCCTTGAGCACGCCTTACACATCATCTGATGTTACACTACAGACCTACCTTGAGCACGCCTTTCACATCATCTGATGTGACATTACAGACCTACCTTGAACACGCCTTACACATCATCTGATGTGACACTACAGACCAACCTTGAGCACGCCTTACACATCATCTGATGTGAGATTACAGACCTACCTTGAGCACGCCTTACACATCATCTGATGTGACACAGGAGACAGGTTGGCAACGTCAACATTGTAACACTGTATCAGGTAGGCTAGGATTCCTTGTCTGAAACAGCAATATCAATATAAGTTTAATTAGGCAGTTAGACATTTAAAATAGAATCTGATATATCACAGCAAAAGCATGACTTCTTTATTTTGCTTAAAGTAAGAAAAAGATAACCATTTATATCAATTTTATTCTTGATTAAATTTTTTTTAACTTCATACAATGCAAAAAAAAATAATTTATGACAGACAAGTCCAATATGTTCCTGTAGAAAATGTCACATGATCCACAGTCGTCACTAATGAAATATGACTAGGACTATTCATCAGGAGGAGGGCAAGTTAATGAAATTTGCTTATTCAATCTGACGGTAATACCAAGTTGATGATGTTTCCTGTGGCTATGCAATCACACATTCAATTACAGTTTTAGGTAGGATACGCTGCTCTGGTAACGTCTTTTGCATCTTGTTTGATTGCATTAGACAGAGCTTGGGTTCCACCAAGAAATGGTAAAATTCGTTACATTTAAATATTTTGTTTTTAATTGGTTTCCAGGCTGGTATAGCCTCTTGCTGTGTGCCTTGGTTGCCGGCTATGGTTAAAGTTATAATTAGATAACAATATACAGCACCGCGGCGACATATCTCTGAGGGTCTAGAAACACAGCTGTCCCCTGACAATGTTACGTAATCGGAGTATACAGACCTCTGTATCACTACTCATCACCCAATGACAGGTCCTACTACATAAATCTCTATGTAAATCAAACATCAAGTTAGGAAAATACTAAGCCTCTTCACCATTTGAATACAAACTAATAATTCTCAAACAACCTCTCCATCCTCTGATTAAATTCTTTCCTCTTAAGCTAAACACCTTCCCTACTTCTTAACCTTCACACTTTTTACATCTTCCACTTACCCCCTCCTCTCACCCTCTTCCTATACAGACATACCCCTCCACCCTTCTACCTATTCTCACCATTCACACTTCCTACTCCTTCCCCTTACCCCTCCTCGTACCCCTACCTTACCCGAGTAAGACTCCTGTATCTCCCCTACCCCTCCAACCTTCCCTGAGTAAGACTCTTGTATCCCCCCCCCCAAACCTTCCCTGAGTAAGACTCTTGTATCCCCCCCAAACCTTCTCTGAGTAAGACTCTT